GAGTTGGAGGTTGCTGTGAGCTGTGATGCCATGGCACTCTACCCAGGGCGACAGCTTGAGGCTCTGTCTCAAAAATAAATAAATAAATAAATAAATAATAAAAATTAAAAGATTCCTTTAAAAAGGCAAGTGAAAGAAAAAAAGACAAATAAAAAACAACTAATTGATAAAAAGAGAAAAAAAACTGTACTTTGACTAACTTTGACTTCACCTTCACTCTCTTTGTCCTCCTCTGCCTACTTGGAATCTACTAACTTTTTCATTAGTTACAGTCTCACCCTGAATACAAAAAGAAGGCTAGACAAATACCCTATCAAATTAGGCCCTCAGATCAACCAAGTATGCTTCTTTAACCACCTTTATGCTATAGTCAAAATCTGGCATTCAGAGCAATAGTGAAAGGTTTCCTTGCCCCCAATAAAACCTCCCCAAAATCACTGAGGAATTTAGAATTCTCTTTGGAGCATATGATCTAGGATTCCTTGATCTTTACCAATTTATTCACATGACACTGGGACCTGGAAAATCCTGTAAATAGACAGCTGAAACCAAATGGGAGATATCTGAGAAAGATATCAAAGATCTTACCGTTCAATCTTTCAGGGATGGACCAAAAAAAAAGGACTAGGAAAATAGCAAACCATCTCTTAGAGCAGTGGTTCTCAACCTTCCTAATTCTGCAGCCCTTTAATACAGTTCTTGAGAACTGCTGTCTTAGAAGTTGTGAAAGTTGATCATATGAACTGGGTCATCTTTACCATACCCAAGCTAATTGGGTAGAGGGGCTGGGGGAGAAGTACTCATGGTACATAACATCGTTCCAGAAACACGCTTCTCTGTAAATCCAATTGCTGAAACTATTACAACCTGCAAACAGTTTTATCTATAGCTTCTGGAATAACTTGCTGCAGCTCTAGGATTAATTTTTTCCACCACTATCGCTCACCAATCAGAGCTTACCAGCTCCCCAAAGCTTTACTAATACCAATGAACTTTCTCTCTAGACAACACATAACATTCCTCTTTTTTATAAAACCTCCAACCCTTTCTGCTTTTTAAACCTACCAAAGACTACTAAGTCTGTGTGTATGCCCTGAACTGCAATTCTTTCTTCCCACATGAAATGTTAAATTTAGAGAATCTCTATATTTTTGACTTCAACAAATCCATCCCCAAAGTATTTCCTCTCAATAACCTGATTGGTCTTCCATTCAAACTTGTAAACAGAAAAAGGATAAACCAGTTTCTCCATAAAAATCCTAAGTACCCTCCCCCCAAAACTGAACAGACCCTTTTGGCCAAGGGGACCCCAGAGAAGCCTTAAAGCTGAATTTCTAGCCATGACAAGACAGGGGGTCAGATTTGCATCATTTAACTTCTCCCTAGCTAACAGCCATTATGCTTTATTTCCTAAAGCCAGACTAGCATTCTTTCCTGAGAAAAGACCACACCAACCATGAAGTGGTTTTGACAGTCTACAGAACATGTGCAGAGAGGGTTTTACCTTTTTGACATAAAGAGCAGCCTTTTTAAATTTCTTTTTTGAGACAGAGCCCCACTCTGTCCCAAGGGTAGAGTGTAGTGGCATCATTATAGCTCAGTGAGCTCAAACTCCTGGGCTCAAACAATCCTTGTGAGGAGCTGGGACTACAGGTGCCTCCACAACAGCTGGCTAATTTTTCTTTTCTTTTCTTTTCTTTTTTTTTTTTTTTTTGAGACAGAGCCTCAAGCTATCCCCCTGGGTAGAGTGCCATGGCA